ATTAAATACTGCGTCACCGGACTGTTCTTAGCTGTCAAACTTGTTTTCCTCTCATCATCCAGTGCTCACCTTCAGCTCGTGGTAGTCAATTTCTTTGTCTTTGTCTGTGTCAAACAACTCAAATGCTTCCTTGATTTCATGTTTCTGATCCTCAGTGAGCTCTCTCCTCTTCTTACGCTTGGTTTTGTCTGCCATGAGCTCCGTTCTGGAGAGAGACAGATGCAGCACGCGATACACAAATGTACACAGGTTTCAGCTGCAATCATATTGCAAACATTTTTCTTTAATTTAAGTGACACACGTATCTGCTGTTACCCCAAATTAAAGCTTCAATACAGAGTATGTTGTACAGCGTATGGCAGAACACCACAGCTTTACAAAAGAGGGTTAGCTAAAAAGCAAAGGGCTGACAAAACACACAATAGACAAATATGCAGGCAGTGCACTCAGTGTTTAGACAACGTACACAGCCTTGTGATCAGTTTTACCCAGCCTGAGAAAACAAACTTAAAATCTGTAACTATTTACAGACTGAAGTTTACAGATATCTACGCTCTGTGTTTGCAACACAAGCAGAGTGCAGTCCATATATCGTTAGCAATCTAACGAAGTATCTACGACCAAATACTTATTCAATAATATCTGATTTATCAGCAACTTAACAACATGATAGAGTAATACTCTGACACCTGTTTATCTAAATATCAATAACATTACAAAATAACATAACAAAACAAACTGACTGTAGTATCATTATAACATTAATTGTCAGATACACATAACACTGAAGTGTTTGGCTGACAGCTGATACAGCTACTTTCCTCGGTTAGATTTTCTTTGTTTTTGATCCTTTTTCCCTTTTTTGTGCCAATTCAACACAAGATTATCCATGTATAATATTTAATATAGGGTTTTCCCCTTACAATTCCACTACTAATACACTGAATAAAACGGAATCAGCAACTATGTTGGTCAAGAATGCTGATTTGTTTAAAAAAATAAATGAGAAAAACGCTCCTTTGTACCGGTACTGATGACTTTGTGCTGTGGCTATGCAGTCGATCCTTGAACGTGTACGTCTGATGAAAGACAAACGACGCACAGGGGTGGCATCTGAACAGTAGTTTTGCAACTAAATGTGGTCTATAGTACAGTACATTGTAGTCGTCCAAGTCACATTCAAAGAAACGAAAAACAAAAAAACAGTAAGCAGCTAACGTCGACTCTACATGGATTAGTAGCTGCAGCTAATTCCTATGCACTATCCCTCCCGAACAAACACAGCAAACACGTTGCAAAGTTAACATGCTAGCGCCTCTTATGTGAAAGAGCTAGCGACTAGCTCTGTGCGCTGGTTTGAGGAATGTTGGAATAACTGCGACAAATCGGCTTACCTCAGAGACAGGCTCATTGTGAGGGGATTTAACGACCCTGAAACAATTACTCTTATTACTGTCACCAAACACAATAACACCGAGGCCGACACACAACAATTCCGTTTATCCGCGCTCACATTCACGTTTCCTATTGGTAGCTGGTCACCAGGCAGCAGCAAATTGCTTTCTGATTGGCTTAGAGTGTTCTTCTTCGTCTTCTTCTTCTTCTGCTTATTTATTTATTTTTAATATTTCCTCTAGTGCAATCGCAGCGGATCGGAGCAGTATCGCCGCCAGCTCCACGTGTGCTGCCCTGTATAACAATGCAGTAGACGTGCACATGTGTTTGCCAAATCAATACAAATCATTTAAACTACGACGATTACAACACGTAAAGGTCCCTAAAATGTTGTAAGAATTTAAGTATAATTCTGAACAGTATTCACCATAGAACAAGATCCTGTGAGTGTTTTTTGGGTTTTTTTTTTCTTTACCGCATTTTATTGTGTGTCAGCTATGTTTAAAAGCTATTTTATACGAGGCTGCGACTAATTATTATTTAAATTAATGTTTAAAATGTACTTGACATCATCATCATCATCATTATTATTATTATTTATTTATTTATTTTTTTAGCAGTCGTAGTAGTAGTAGTATTTCAACTGCTGAACAAAAGAATATCCTATCTAGGATAAATAAAGTATTTTTAATATTGTTGTGCTGATATTTTCTTGGTAAGTTGATTGACTGTTTTTTAAGCATTTAGAAAATGATGCTGGACCTTTGCAGTCAATGCAAAAAGAAAATGTCAAACCATGAACCATTTTTCATGTGTTCACATATGTGTATTTTATGTCTCCGTCTTCCTACTCTAGATCTCCTCCACCTGAATAAAAAAAAAATTTCATTTTATTTATTTCTTCAGCAATCAGTAGTTGTTTTTTTCATTTGTTTGTTGTGTCTGTTTTAGTCATTTGTGTCTCTTTGTAATCTTTTCAGATTTTATTGACTTTTTATGATAATTTTTAAAATTATCATATTTTAAGGTGTTTTGTACACAATTACCTTCATATAAGATGAATGCTGTGCAATGAAAAATCTGTTTCTCTCTGAAATGCAAAGTATGGATTATTGTTTGAGAAGATCACTTCAGGTGTATGTATTTTATACATACACTAATAACAATCTTCAATCTGAATCTTTATTTGTCTGCAGATATCATAGTGTGAACCTTTTGATGAGGTGCAGACATGAGTTTGATTTCAGTAGCAGGTGCATCCCCAGCACTTCCTGAATGGGCATCTTTCTCCTGCTAACCAAATGAGCTTCTCTGTTTTCTATCACCTACACTTTCAATTCTAACACTTACAGCATATTTTAATAAAAGCCACATTTACTCATTGGCACATACATGCATGTGATACTTTATGCTGCTCTAAGTACTTCATAACTAACAGTGGTGGGACTCAAACCTCCAACTTGCCACTCTATCTCCTCTACTGCCTGAGCCACAGCCATCCCCTCCGTCAGTACTGTATAACTGAGGTATTAATTACCTCAAGGGATAAAAAATGAAGGCAGTGCTTTAAGTGCCAAAACCTGCAGTTTCTCTTACAAGACATTAGCTGCATTGTTCTATTATATCTTTATTTAGCAGTATACAGTGTATACCACTTATAATAAAAACTGTAGTCTTTTCTCTAAATTAGATAAAGACATCTGCTGTCTAAAACTGAGTATTGCAATAATGATGAGAAAGCCTCTCTCTTCACTGAGCCTTTTGTTACAGGCAGGGCAGCAGAGGGATTATGCTGTGATTATGCTCCAAATGAACATTACTTACACCATGGAGATATCTCATGCTTATTTCCTCCATCATGTTGTAGCCTGCATTTTCACTGTGGGTTCAAGATTTGCTTTCCTTACCAAAATTTCCATAAAATGCAATAAAAGCTTGCATTACAAGCTTGCAAAAAGTATTTGCATATTTGTTTTGAGGCAAGCAGTTAATATTTCACATACATTAAACCAAACCAAATTAGAAAACTTTTTTATAACTTCACTGAGATTGAACTAGGCTTTTATTTATTTATTTATTTATTTATTTATTTTTCTCAGCCAAACATGGGAACACAGTATATAAAAGCAACAAATTCATCTCATTAAGGGTGTCAGAGCTGAACTGAGACACACACCTGGGGACATCCACTGAGTCTGTTTCTTGTAGAACTGAGTTCAACTTAAACAGTCAGCTGTGGAACAGCAGACAGAGGCTTCTTGTGCTGCTTATGTGAGCTGCCTCTGTCTTCAGCAATAGAGAAACACCTATGAAACAAAACACACCAATGCTTGCTATGCTTCCCATCAGTTATTTTGCACTGCTCAAATATATTACACACAGTGTCCACTATATTAGGAATGGCTCCTTACTTTCAGATCATTTCATCAGATCTTTAAGCGCTTTCCAAAGGTGTTCTGTGAGACTGAGACCTAATGAATGGGGAGGCCAATGAACTAAATACAGAATTTACCCCATACAAAATTATCCCAAACAACCCAACTTAAAAATGTAATTCACACTCTAAGAGATACTATCTGCCCGAAAGGTATCCGCCTATCATGTTTTCCAGGACGTTAATTCATGCTTTTCTGCCAAAGACACTGCTCATTTCTGTGCAAGGTGTCTTCTGGCAGTGATCTCTGACATGCTGAATTATGGGATTGCTGTGAGAAGCGTATGATCTGTTTGCATGCAGGGAACATCCATGAAACCAAAACACTATCTTTCCCTAAGCCTAACCAAGTAGTTCTCAGAACATTAACCTAAAAACATAGTGTTCATTGACTAAGTTTCGAAACTTAAAAAGCAAAACAAACAAGACAAAGTTATCAGATGGCTGAAAGCACACTCTCCTGTCTGATTAGTCCGGAAAGTATGTATAACCAGGAAAATAATCGAACATTAGAAAACTCTTGGTAGGAGCTTTTATGAGATGATCTCTGTCATTTATCTCATCACAAGTGTTTCAGATATTTTAGTCACAGCCAGATAGTTCCAAAAACGTGCATCCTCCATTATCTGGTGGTTCTAAATTTGCAATAGATGAAGCACGGTGTTTAAATACTTACGCACGTATAATAAAAGCTGTATGAGTAGGTGAATGTGGTTTATTGTATAGAGTGCTTGGGGGTTCATTCATTGACAACTCTTCTGTAGTTATCTGAAGGCAGACATTTCAGTTCCCAGAAATGATGTGGGCTTCATAGATAATTGGCAAACCTTCTGGAGGAAACCTGGTCTTGTTAGGAGAGATGGCATCCATCCCACTTTGGATGGAGCAGCTC